GGTATGAGGTGCTCAGACAGATGTTCTGTCAGGGTATGAGGTGCTCAAACAGATGTTCTGTCAGGGTATGATTAGGTGAAAGTACACATTGACTCAGAGCCTTTTCTCAAACGTGCACTAAATGCCGTCATAGTTGCTCCAAATATGATTTTGATGTAATTTCTGTTCTTCTTTGTGCTTCCCCTGCAGTTACCTTCATGCCAAGAACATAATTCATCGAGATCTGAAGTCAAACAGTATCCTTTTGTTTCAAAGCATGTTTGTGTGAGAGAGTTGGGTCTGACCTGTTTTATATTTAACCAATAACCACAGATGTGCAGAGTTTATCAGTTTCTAAAGGCCGAACCACAAACTGAGCATGTGCTCTTTGTAGGCAGAGGTTCATACAGCACAGTACTTACACTGTATTAAGTTTATTGTACGTATTTAAAGAAAAAACATTGTTTTAGATTAATTCTGAATTTCAGGAATGGTGAATAAAAGTAGTGTTTTCTGTAAATGTGTAAAATCACAACAATCCACAAACGAATATAAAAATGGTTTTTGCTTAAGGTTTTGTTAAATTGCAGAGTTTTGCTTTTAAGAAAGTTCCTGTGCATTGTGGGTAGTTTCCTCTCTGCCCCTCTCACTTCTTCTAGGTTCCATGTGAGCGAGTGCTCAGCAGTCTGATAAAACTCTTCCTGAGCTTTGCTCTCAGATATTTTTCTCCACGAGGGCTGGACCGTTAAGATCGGTGACTTCGGCTTGGCTACGGTGAAGTCTCGGTGGAGTGGCTCTCAACAAGTAGAGCAGCCCAGCGGCTCCATCCTCTGGATGGTAAACTTTCCATAAACCTGTCTCGAGCAACGCTGTGGACATAACTTAGCTTCACAAGTAGGCGCACAAGCTAAGGTTCACAAGCGTGCAAGGTTCACAAATGCAACAACAGTTGTTCAAATGTGCACATTTCAAAATGCACATGTAGGAACGTGCACAAATCACCTTCCGAGGACGGATCAACTTGCTTGTGAATGTTACTTTTGAGGCCTTCTTACCCCTCCAGATTCACAAAGGTAACGCTGCGTTCAAGGCTGGTGGAAAGCTGGGACATCTGAGTGTTACCAGATTTACTGGGTTACTGGGAAAAGACCAGTTTCTAACTTGGTACAGTAGCTCATAACCCCTGTATTAATAAAATCCATACATTTACGTTACTGGAGTCAAATATTAATTTTGTGAAAATATACAACCTTAAGCGAGCAGGTTATTCTTCATGTCAAAGTCTTAATTTATTTATAAAGCACATTTAAAAACAACAGATTATTACCAAAGTACTGAACAATAAAATAAAAAGGCAGAGATTCAAAGAAAAAAAAAGAAAAAATTTAATTGAAAACCTCAGAAGAAAATAAACAGAACAATAAAATACTAAAATGACTAGTCAGTGAGAACAGGTGTGTTTTTAAAAGGCATTTTAAAAACAGGAAGTGAAGTGGCCTGTCTAATGTTGGGGGCAGATTATTAAAGGTTTAGGAAGCACACCTGAACAAGCCCCATCTCTGAGCTTCAACCTGGTTTTTGGGACAACCAAATGTGTGAACTCTGTTTTGTACTGAACTTCATACCATACCACTTTATTTATAAAGCACTTAAAACAGCAACAAGGCCAACCAAAGTGCCGTACAGACAGAACAACCGGTAACGCACAAAGCAAAATACAAAATGAGGTAAATCAGAATATAGACATAAAAACGATGCAGATAATGACGACTAACCAGTGTGGAGCATACAGGATCAAAACACAGATCCTCTGGTGTTGAAAGCTACTGAATAGTAGTGAGTTTTTAAACGGGACTTGAAAACCGAGAGGGAGGGGGTCAGTCTGACAAGCAGAGGTAACTCATTCCAAAGTCTTGGTCCTGCTACAGAGAAGGCCCTGTCACCTCTGCGCTTACTTAACTTCATGTTATTGTTGCGTAATGTACAACGTGTTAAGTGCTTACACACACAGTCTTTGTTGTTTTATCTTAGTTTAATCATTCCAGTAATGATGTACATTTTGAGTTTCTGCACAGTAACAGATGAACATGTTGTCATTGAACCATGTAACCAGTAACTGATGGGAACATCTCTGTGGTCTGAAGCTGGTGTCTCACCAAGCTGCCACTGATTGTAACAAACTGAGAACGTGCTCATTTTTTAATTTTATTCATTCTTTAACATTTGTCTGGGTTTTCACTGTTGCACAACAGTTTTGTGACTGTCCAGTGGCAGTTTTCAATTGTCAGAAATGTTCTGTTTTGTCACAAGCATGTTGTGAATGCTGTGCGACTGATGCTCAGCGCAGCAAAGTTTGTCTCTGGGAGTGTTTGTGGCAAATGCAAAAATGTCAAGTTATAGCAATTTTAAGTGAAAATTTGCACATTTATTCTTTATCAGTCTTTTTATTTATTTATTTTTTTTATTTTTTTCAGAACACACACACGGAGAAAAAAAAAATCTAAAGCATACAACAAAATCCCCTCCCACCCAACACCGGATCAGCCACACAGACACTAACGCATTACACAGGCACTGACATGCTCTCAGTATAAGACATAAAAGACTGTCAAATGTCCCAGAACTTCTCAACAGAACCTTCCAGGGTATTATCTGATCTTTTCAAGATGAACATGATACATGACTTCTCTTATTCAGTGTTCATGTGCTGGGAGATGTGGATCACAAGTCTCCTGGCTAGAAGAGAGCTATAAACAATCCTATTCCTCTCACACTTACTGAAGGATGTATCCACAGGGACCACTCCAAACAGTGAGATGAACGGTGATGGGCAAACAGTTTTTCCACATATCTCAGAGAACGTGTCAAAAAAAGATTGAAGGTCTGCAGTTTGGGACAAGTCCAGAATGTGTGCAAGAGTGTAGCTGGAGTTTACATTTACATGCTGGGTCCAGGTTGGCTTTGATTTTGAACGGCTTGTCTTTGGACAAGTGCAGCCGGTGCACCACCTTGAAATGAATTACGTGTCTCAGGCAGATTGAGGATAAATGCTTTTTTTTTTTTTTTTTCATTCACCCTTTATTTAAATGGGCTAATCCCATTGAGCCACAAGGACTCATTTACAAGAGACCTGGACTTTAACAAAGAGTGTTGACAACAATAGGCAATCACAAATGAGTCATACACATTAACTAATTATTTTTATTTATTTTTTACAATTGAAAACAAAATGATAATTAAAAGGAAAAAGAAATTAGCAAAAAAAACCAGCTAGATTACGAGGCGGTGTAGAAAACTTAAAACAGGAACATGTCTGCGTTGGTTCTTGTCAGGATATTAACAGATGTTTAAAGCTACTTAGAGAGGTCAAAGGTCGAGAGCTCACTTTTTTTTGCAAGATGTTCCAGGAAACAGGAGCTGAGTAGGAGAAGGCCTATTTGTCTAGTTCAGTCCGCACTGAGGGAACACTGCAGGTAATAAAGTCCTGAGAGCGCACGCTGTAGCTGCACTCATGTAGGAGGAGATGTATGAAGGCAGCAGATCAAGAAGTGATTTAAAGATGAAAATGTACCAGTGGGAGAGTCTGCGTGCAGTTAATGATAAATAATAATAGGATAAGAGAATAAATGTTATTAATGATCTTCCACCAGGTTGAGTCAAGTATGGACTCCTCCAAGTCCTTTGCCCGTTTCAGTGTAAGAGTCCAAACTGGTCTCATGGTATGGAAAAAAAAAAGCATGTTTTATGACAGATGTGTTGCATTAGTCACAAACAGTTGCAGAGCAGTGAGACTGTTTGTTGTTGGAATATTTTCATTCAGCTTTCAGATGTTTAACAAATGTAAGTTCATCACGCTCAGGACTTGAGCCAGCTGAATCTAGGTAGTAAAGTTTCATTGTGAACTTCTGTTTCTCATGTCTCCCCCAAGGCTCCAGAGGTGATCCGAATGCAGGACAGCAACCCGTACACGTTCCAGTCAGATGTGTACGGTTATGGAGTGGTTCTGTATGAGCTGATGTCTGGAACTCTGCCTTACTCCAACATCAACAACAGAGATCAGGTGGGATCATCACTGTGATGATGTCATGCAGCCAGAAGATGACTCGCTTTCCAAGCTTTGGGAATACTTTATAATCCAACATTGGTGTCATGTAGTAACTGAGACGTGTGGCTCCAGCGTATCACACAACAAAGGTCACGTGCTGACCGAGGCACTGGCTTTGTCAGATAAATAAACGGGGGGGGGGGGGGTCACAGTCTAGATGGTCATAAACACATTTTAAATTACAGCATTGTTTGTGTATTTAATGTAAGAACCTTAAAATGATGTCACTTTGACAGCATTTGCTCTGTTGCAGAGTTTAATGTCTGCTGTTTTGGAAATATAACGTGATCATTCTGCTTCATGGTTCAGACCTGATGTGATGTTTCACTGACGGATCAGTCCGTAACGTCTCGTCTGTGTTCCTCTTCAGATTATCTTCATGGTTGGTCGTGGGTTTTTATCTCCAGACCTCAGTAAACTGTACAGCACCTCGCCCAAGTCAATGAAACGACTCATCATCGAGTGTCTGAAGTACAAACGTGATGAGAGGCCTCTGTTTCCACAGGTGTGTAGTCTGGAGGCACCACAGGAGACCTGTCAGGACGAGCTGCAGCTGCAGTTGATGTGCTAGTAGCTGAGAGTCGTTCAGCACGTCCAGACCCCGTTGACTGTGTGTGAACCGTTTCGTGGATCCAGTCAGCCTAACCTTGTTCCTGTTTTTGCTTCTGGTCCATCAGATCCTCGTAGCCATCGAGCAGGTCCAAGACCTAATGCCAAAAATCGAGCGGAGTCGCTCAGAGCCGTCTCTCCACCGGGCTGTCCACGCCGAAGACCTGAACCCTCTCCTGTTCCAAACCACCCGGCTATTGCCCCTTTAAGCCCCACAGCGCGGGCCCTCAGACATTCACCATGTGTAACTGCAGCTGGCTGCCATGGCCAACCCCCTTCCACCCCCTCCACCCTGCAGAGCCCAGGAGGAGCAGCACTCAGTAACAAACTGCAGACGTGACGTTGGACCTGGTTTTCCTTCCTACAAGTGGCAGACGGCTGTCTGTCAAAGGACCGGATGCTCACCAGGGTCTGACGACTGATGTGACAGGTTGACGTTAGACTCTGACTCACAGGGAGGTGGGTCATCTTTGTGGAGGCGACGATGAAAAGCACGTGTTTTGCACATTTTGGTTCAGCAAATCTTGTGTTGCCTGTTTTCAGCAGTAAAATCAGATTGCCAAAACATGAAAGCAGTTCCTCGGCTGTGAAGCTGGGGCTGCTGGTTCAGACCCCGGGGTCAGCTTGTTGTCATCTGTTCAGATTAACAAAACTAAAAACAGGCCAGAACACGAGAAGGCTGGAGAGGAAGCCTAGACCTGGTCAGGAACAGGCTGGAGAGAACCTACAACTTACACATTACTGTTGTGAAACCTTCTTGCTAAGGATTAAAACCAAACGCGTAGTTTTATCTTTTTTACCTGTTAACCTTTGACCCTCAGAGGTCTGTGTTATCAGGGCTTCAGGTGGGCCGGGGGTCACTGCTGCTGAAAGGACAGACGGGTCCAGATGATTAGATGCTCCAGTTGAAATGGTTTCAGTGAAATCGTGTTGAAGACGCTGTTGACCACTGAGACAGCGCTCATTAACCTTCACATGGAACCAGCCCCTGCTTCACTTTCAGTTCTGAGGTGAGTTCAGACCATGGTCTTTGTGAGGGTTGGGTCTTTCACTGGGCTGAAACTGGACGTTTGTTGGGAGACTCAAAGGCGTGTTCATTTCTTCTCCTGGAGGTCTGAGCGTGAGGAGCAGGGAGCGCTGCAGCAACTCTTCAAGGGTGTGCATCTACTGTATGTTGAGAGCTTGTTGCACAAACTTTGAAAGTTCAGACGACACACTGAACGACTGCAGCTCCCACGAGGAAGCTGAGCACCACCACAGACCTTTGTTGATGTGGGGGTGGATGTGCTCCCACAGTCGGCTCTGAGTCCAGTCTGAGCTCAACATGAACACAGTTCACCGTGCGTGGACTCTACTTTCCTTTTCCTTACAAACTACTAACATTTTAGCTGTTTTTAAAGAAAAGTCCCGACACTTTCCATCACTTTTGTTTCCTACAATGTCTTTTTTGTTCCAGATGTTCCCTGAAACATGTGGCTGTTGAGCAGTGCTGATGTGGGATGTCTGTTTGTTAGCGCTCAGATTTTGGGAGTGAAGAGAACTGAGGTTGCAACATGTGTCAGCCTCGGACAGTGAACTGCTGTGATTGTCCATCAGTCCAACAGCTGCAGACGCTCCTCTTGTTGGATCCGTGTCTGAGTCATGTTTGAGGACAGTCAGACATGCATCTGTGACGGAGAGGTTCCTGCACGTTCTGAAGGTTGAGTCTGCTGCAGGTTCATCGTTCTGGTTCCTTGCCGCCGTTGTTGCTGCGGGTCCTTGATGCTGGTCCAGGTGTTGGTTCAACACAGTTCCTGCTGGGAACAAACCTGTCGGAGGCTGGTGTCACGCTGCAGTGTGGAACCAAACACCTGTTTTACTCACTGTCCCACAATGCCTTTGGGCTGCTCCACTCACAGGGATACTGCTTCACCTCATGTCTCCACCCCCATCTTGGATTTGTTCTGCTCAGTACACTCTAGAAATGAAGATGGCCAGATGTGGATGTGCTTCATTAATTATTATTTATCACCGGCGTGATTGTTAGACCTGGACCCTGGATGTGTTCTGTCAGAGGAGAACATCTGCAGATGTTCTGCAGACGCCAACAGAAAATGTATCGTGCATTTTCACTTAGTTTTTACATGTTTTAAATGAAGCTAGATGACTGTAAGCCTCTGCAACTTGTGGTGAAATGAACCACCACCAACGTTTCAACACTTGAGACGCCCTCGTGTTCGCCAACTGGTCTCAACCCAGATGGACCTGAAGGTCCAGTCAGTAGCTGCACCAGAACCACCAGCCCTGTCATGTTAAAGTCTGTACAGGTGCAGTAAACCATCAAAGTGTGCTGAGTTCAGGTCTTTTAAATTGGACCTTAGATATGGGTCAGGACCAGTAGTGCCCCCTGCAGGACCACAGCTCCAACTGCAGACTGATCTCTGACCCGGTCTGAGCAGGGCTGTACAAACAACAATAATAATAATAATAATAATGTGTATGTGTTGTCATCGTGTGTTCACATGCAATGACGACATTGACTCTCTGCATTTAACCCATCCACCACCAGGTGGAGCAGTGGGCAGCTGTGGAAAGCACCGGGGAGCAACTGGTGGTGATGTGTCCTGCTCAGAGACACCATGAGATGTGCAGTGACTGGGGATCGAACCCGGGACCTTCAGGTCTTGAGCCAGCTGCCCTGCCCCTACACCATCTCGTGTGCATGGTCAGCTGGAGCTTCTGAACACGTTACAGTGTAAAAACCTCATCCTTGACCCGAACAGGATCAGTGTGGCACCACACAATGTTCCTCCATTCAGCAGCTGAAGGTCTGAGGCCTCCCAGCGCCTGAAGGTCTGAGGCCTCCCAGCGCCTGAAGGTCTGAGGCCTCCCAGCAGCTGAAGGTCTGAGGCCTCCCAG